AGGGATTGTCGATGATTTATTGTCAGAATACTGTCGTACAATGTGAAGTGATTGACGGTAGCTTTAACGACAAGGTTAAGGTTCGATTGCTCCAGAATCGCTGTGATGGGCTCTTCTTCAAATGGGATAAGGTAGGCGTATCCTTGAGTGCATAGTCGTGGTGGAAGGGTGTTGTCTGTAGAGAAATAACGAGATAGAGAATGCTAAAGGCAACTGGAATCAGGGCGATCTCCTCACAGCTCGAGTCACTCACATAAAGCCGGATGTGTACGACTCTGATGACCACGACAGCTACCTCAACTGTGTGAAGAGGAGTTGTGCTGGTGTAGGTTCAAGGTGGACGTAACTGTTGAGGACATCACTGATTATGAGCAGAGAGAGATAATAGATCAGGATCCGAAGTTGGTCGCTAAGAGCGATGACTTCCGGTAGGTTGTTGGGTACCTTGAATGACAGCTGCAGCAATGGTCTTAGGGAACTCCGCGGCCTCGGGAAGGTGGTGGTCACTCAGAAGCAAGGTCTTGATGCTGCCGCTTCTATTCGTGGTCGGCGTATCATCAGACATGACAACTATAAGGAAATCTCCCACAGTGCTGCGATGGCCGTAAGCACTGGTCAGTCGTGTTTCTGCTGAGTCCTTCTGTGTTAGTATCTTGAGTCGCCCTCCATCCCAATAGGCGAGGTCCTATTCCGACCTAGTACGAGCCATCAAGGTCATTACATATGCATGATCAAGATCAAACAAGGTGAGTGATTATGTCTAACGACTTGATGTAGAGCTTTCCCTCAGGCAACAGAACCAGCACTGATTGGGTGAAGCAATTCGTCTTCCAAGAGGCCAAGAGTAAATTCACTCAGCAGGCAGCTCAACAGAACACCCTCGGCAATGCCAAGATGGTTTATAAGGTTGGTCAAGGCTCGTCCTCTGCTCTCATAGCTTCCTCTCCGTTTGCAGTTGCCTGGAGAGCCTGAGGAATTTGACGAGTTGGATCAGATCAAGGCGATGATTGTCGAACCGTGAGTCCATCCGCATTGGGGATGTTACGTGAGG